AGGCAAACATCGAAATCGGAAAAATAACAACCATTGAAATCAATCACAAAGCGGTGTAAATCGCTCGCAAAGGACAGGAGGTGTGCATCAAAATCGAGAACTTTGGCGGCGATGCGCCTAAACTATATGGAAGAATTTCGATCACACGGATCTGCTTATGTCTCGACTCACTCGTGAATCCATTGATGTCGTCAAAGAGTACTTCCGGGACTACCTCCAGAAGAGCGACTGGCAGTTAATGATTGAACTCAAGAAGATTTTTGAAATAATCTGATTTTCATTCTATTGTTCTGTAATTTAATATTCAAATTATATTTATAACGAATAAAAGTTAATTAAATATTTAATAATTATATTTGTTATAAACATGTTCAATATGTTTACCACCAGTTTCAATTAAGAGATGCATTCGTTTCTTAAATGAATTTCTTGCATTTCTAAGCATTCGTTTAGTTATTAAATTTACATGAAGATTAATCGAATTAATAATATCAGCTTTTGTATTGATTTCGATGGTATATACATCATCTGTAAATTATATAATAATAATAAATTTAATTATAGTATATGTAAGTTTTTAATATGGGGGGCAATTGTATTCGGATATATTTAAATTGTAGTTTGGCTAAAACCTAGATATAATTGCCGGCAATTCTAGTCGAAGGAAATCGTTAATAATAACCTTTTAATTTGCCCCACACGAAGAAGTCCATGATCGTTAGGTCTGGCGACCTATAAAATTAGATCATTAGCCTTAAGTTAGATATAATTTATTTTTATTTAATACTAACCTCGGCGGCCACGCGGCCATCGGGCCAGCCCTTCCAATCCATCGCCCGGGAAATTCTTTGTTTAAGAATTCCCGGCATTCAAGTGAATAATGGGCACTTGCGCCATCACATAGAAATATGATATTCTCGAATCCATTCATTTGTCGAATTTTTGGCAAAACCTGTACAAAATTGTTAAAAAGTAAACATTTAGTTAAAATAGTTTCTAATGGTTAACACGACTGTTATGTTGAAATATTGACGACAACTAATGCTAACGTTTAATTTTTTTATTGTCACTCAAATCAACAGACAATTTATGGCTTTCACTCGGAATCGGTTGCTATTTATAACTCACAATTTGTTAGAGACAACGCTCTCGGCCTTAAGGTCTTTAGTGTCAGACAACAGGAGTCGACCCCAGGAATCACTCTCTGTCCATAATTAACATAAATGTTATATTCATTTCTCAAACAAAGAAATCTTTTCAATTGAAAAGAATACTTAAAATAAAATCAATTCAATTCAAATTATATTCTCATTAGTTGTGCACTTCATTTGAATATTAATTGACGACATCTAATGCATAGATTATCTGATAAATAAGTGTTAAGAATTGTATCGATCGATCAATCGGTCAAATGATTGCATAACAACTGATAAGTAATACAAGTATTGGATTCGCCAACAAAGATGTAATGTTATTCCCTCTCCATTTGGTGTCTCTTTACTGTATTTACTTTTCATTTGAATTTCAAAATACTGTTTATAAGCCCATAAAGAGAGGATATTATGGCTTTGTTTGATGCGATTGATTTGATTGAACCGATGGGAGAATACAAAGACAAAGGCATATAATGGTAGAAATGATATAAACATAATTTTACCTTTGTTCGCATCATTTCAGTGAATGAGTGTCCCGTTACGGTGTTTTCAAAAAAATACGGGCCAATTTTACGATTACCCCAAACACCCATCCAAACCATAACCCGATCATCGGACATAGTCTTTGTTTGTTCAATCCATTCAGGATTGTGTGGTGACCACCAGCGATGGGTATGGCGATTAATATGACCTGTTAGACATACAGAATTACTATCAGAATTACAATTAAGTTCGGAATTTTTATAGTTTTTGAAACAAAAATAATAAATAAAAACAATTTTGCTCGTTATTTATTATTAATAAAGTCATTATTGTCTCTCATTTATATCAATTTTAATTATAAATCCAGTAATATGTAGTATACCTTTAGCATAAAATATCGCTTCGTCACAAAACAGAATACGATTTACAAATTTTGAATCTTTTTGGATCTCAGAGAGAACCCAAGTGGCGAACTTTTTTCGCTGGTCATAATCGCTTTGACCTTAATGTATTAAAGGGTACAATATTTAGTCAAACATTATAACGTTTATAATCAGCATTAAACATACCATTCATTAAATGAACTGGTTGCATTTTATATGGAAAATGTTTGTTTTCTCTCAAAATATTTCTCACTGATGAAAAACTAATGTCATTAAGACGTCCTGTTTTTCTTAATGATTTCTTGCCATTAAGAGAATATTGGGCTAAAATATTAATAGACATGTCTTCATTTGTCGCTGATTTTGGACGATTCTTTTTATCGTTTGCAACATTACCTTAAAATATATTAATTATTTGATTAATTTAATTAACCATGTGTTTCAAAGTGTGTGATCACATCATATGAATACATATTACCCGATAGTGTGAACACTTCTACATTATTAAATGTAATTAAAACAAATACCTTTTTCTTTAAATTGTTTGACAAAAAATTTTACTCTTTTAGGACAAACATAGAGTCTTTCGGGGTGTTTTCCGGCAAACAATTTTGCTGCCATTGAGTACGAATTTGTTTGATAAAAATACTCAATCATTTCTACTCTATCTAATATTTCGTAATGTAATCCTGATTTATCAAGAAATTCAGGTATTAGTGGTTCGACGTTCATGTTTTGATCCAAATTGTGATTGAATTGGTTAGGATTGGGCACGTTTTGGATGTTGAGCTGCTGTATAGACATCGTTGCGTTCACATATGTGTTGTTCACCGTTTGCGGGCCTCCAGTCATGTTAGGGTTCATGTGTGGGTACTGGCCGTTCATAGCTTCTCCGGCCATGTTTTGCTGCATTCCCTGCATTGAAGACATGGATGTGTGGAAGTTAACCATATTAGGGGGTCCGGGAGGCGGCGGCCCATTAGCTGCCATTTGTATAGAAGACATGTTCATCATGTTGTTGTTGTTGGTGTTGTGCTGTGCATTCATAGGGCTGTTAACGGGTTCGCCCATCGCTGCCATGGAAGAGATGGGATCAAAATTGTTCGTTCGCTGCGTTTGTGACACCGAAGTGATGGAACCGTTGGGGTTCTGGCTGTGCGTTAGAGATCCGTTGGACATCATTCTGTTGTCGCCATTGTTTGGAGACCCGATGTCATAGGGAGGGGTCATCTTCTGGA